CCCCAAAACCCCAAAACCCCAAAACCCCAAAACCCCTAAAATATATTTCTCAATTGAGCATATATTAATCATGGAAGAAGCTCTAAGCACATCAAGTCAAAATTTCGGGATAAAGACACCGATAAGTGGCTCAAGATATTCTGTTGCTATAGCAATAATTTATATTATCAGTATTACTCTTGGTGCTGGCCTAGTATCATTACCTTACAGTATTTTGAAGTCAGGAATTCCTTGGTCGATCATATATCACATATTTAATTGTGCTTGATCAATTTATTCAGTCCATCTGTACCTTAAGTGAGCTGAAGTTACTGGATATGATTCAATTGCAAGGATAGGATGCCAGGTGTTAGGACAGTCTTCATTATATCTCGTGAATTTATGGCAATTTCTTTTATTTGGAATTGTTCCTCTAGCTTACTTCATTATTTGATCAAATATTTTGAGAAATTTTATAAGCAAAAGTAGCTGGATAGAGGAGAATGCAAAAAACACTATCGGTAGCCAATGGTTTACTGCACTTTTATTAACAATATTTATCTTTCCATGGATTCTTAAGAGAAATTTTTCTGAACTCAAAATACCTGGCATTTTGTTTTTCATAAGCTTGATCTGTTTTATTTTGCTATTTTTCACGATCTGGTTATTTGATCCTGCAGGGCTCGGTGGAAAGAATAAGGCTGCTGAGTGGGATCCATTTTCTTTTACATTTAATAAGGAGTTTTTCGATACTTTAACTACCGCATATGTAGCCTATGGATTTCATTCAGGCTTCTTTCCAGTTTTCAATAATCTGAAAGAAAAAAACTACAATCAAGGAATGAAAATGATTACTTTGTCAATGACTTTTTGATTATTTATCGTTTTATCAGTTAGCTTCGCTGCTCTCTATATCTTTAAAGATTCAATCCACCCAAACATTATTGAGAACTTTGAATCAAAAGAAAACGGAGAGTCTTGGGAAGGATACACACTAACTGCATTATATATGATATTTGTTTGATTCCATTTTCCATCCATTTTCATGATAGGGAAAGATTCTTTGCTTACCATTGTTGCGCTGGTGTGCCTCAGAGGTGAAACACAACAAAGAATTGAACAAAGTCTTAGCTTTGATGAGAGTAAAGATCTCCATAAGATTAATACAAGAGAAGTTGGGGAAGAGAAAATTGGACTTTTGGTTGAAGATCAATGGAATGAAAATGAGAGTTATATTAATAAATCCTCATTTAAAACTCAAATTTATAACGAACAATCTCTGATTGACCAATGAAAGAACCAGCACAGAGAAACTAAATCTTTCAAAAAAGAGAGAAGTTTTAGTACAAGTCTTCATGACCCTCTGGATATATGCAAAGCTAATATAGAGACTTCGTCTGACCGTCGTAGGAAAATGATATATTATTCGGTTACAATCTTTCTTTTCCTCCTTACAGTTGGCTTGTCGTTACTCATCAGAGATTCAGAGATTGTTGTACAATATCTTGGCATTGTTGGATGCTCACTACTAAATTATATATTTCCTGGCTTGTTCTACTTTGTGATCATGCGTAAGCATCGTGTTAATAATAGACTGTGGCAACTGACCTTGGCATTCGCATTAATAGTTTATGGAATCATGATGATTGTGCTGGTGGTGGTAATAAAACTATATTAGCCTTATGAAGATGATAAGTAAAATGAATATTGATGTTTTAACATGGCTTAGCAACTTTCAATATGTTTTATGTACTCAGGGGTTTTGGGGTTTTGGGGTTTTGGGG